GTAGATGACCTGTAAATGCTCTTTACCGGCGGTTTTCTTCTTTTTATTCTGCTCGGCCGGTTGTCCTTCTGGTCTGACCCATTGGTTCTTCTTTTGCTTAGCCTGGGCCAGATATTCAGGATCAATCTCACCGGCCTCAATCATCTGCTTTATTACCCCCTTCACACTGTTACACTCTGCAGTGTTATGGGAATCAGTTTTGTGAAAGGAGCAATACTTCTCCGTCCATTGTTTCTCGCCGGTCAGTTTCTTCTCTATTTTGACCGGTTTTACCTCCATGACTTCTGCTTTTATCTTACCGGGCAATGTAATTTCCTTTTTCAAGGAAACTTTTCCATTTGAGTGGCCCTGCTCGGCTTCCCTCTTGGATGAGACCTGGGCTTCAGCGTCAGCATAGTCCCAGGCCGTGTTATAGGCCTCTTGATAGGACTGGGGAGGCCTCCTGTAGAATTCTTTGTATAGTTCTCCGGACCGGAGCCCGGATACAAGGAGGGACATTGCTGTCTTGTCGTCCATCTCCTCCACCTTGTCAACCTCACCCTTCCACCGGGTGAGGAATTTTGTCAGATCCTCATGCTCTCGCTGCCCGGCTGTACTCAAGTAGGTAAACTTTTTCTTCTTGGTACAGTTTTCTTTGAACTTTTCTTGAAACACCTCAGCTCGTTCATCGAAAGAATCGATTTCACCGGCCGGTAAGTTATGAAACCACTCGGCGGCTCGGCCGCGGAGGGTCTGAAAGAAAAGCAAACATTTCTCATCCCCGGAAAGACCCATCATCCGCCCACTTTGATGGAGGGTTTTGACGTGAATTTCCGGGTCCTCCTTCCCAGTGAACTTCGGGACTTCAAGTTTCGCCTTCTTTGGAAATGGTGTTTCATGAACCCGGTCTGTGAACGGAGATTCGTTCAGCAGAATCTTCTTCTTTTCTTCTTGGTCTACCCGGCGTTGTAGTTTCTCCAGATGTGCCTCGACCCGGCCCACACGATCCCGAGGTTGCTCAACATGTGAACGGGTCGTGTGTCTAGGGTGGCTTTCGGCTTCTTCCTCTCGTGGTGCCCGGCTGTGCTGGGGCTCATCGCGTGGGGATGGCTCCGTTCGCCTGGTCTGACCAGGTCGTCCGGCTCCTCTCCCTGCACGATTAAAGGCACTAGCTGGAATGGTTTCTACCCCAAGCCGCTCTTTTGCTGACCGGTTCTGATTTCGACCATCATGGCCAAGTCTCTGAAAGGCCGACCTCCTAGATGGTAGACGCTCCACTTCCCAACATGGTACAGACCGCGGGTGGAGGCATCCCCGGCCCGGAGGGTGGCTTCCCAAGCAACCAGGTCATCGGCCTCCGCTGGTTTGACCTGGCGCTTCATTCTTTTCCCCCAGACGTTTTGGGCAAAAGGAAAGGCACCCGGGGGGAATTTGACGCAGACATATTTGTCTTTCCACTTCTTGTTGGAGGGTGGAAGACCACAAAGGAATGCTCGACCTTGGTGGGAAGACACCACCACGAATCCAAGGGTTTCCTTGGACCCGGGCCGAACATCGAACATATAATCAAAGAGGCGAAGAGAAAGAGGAATACGAAGAAACCGGCAGACGTTGATAAAGCTGCCTAACAAACGGTGACCATTAGGGGCCAGCTGCCCGGGCATGATCCCGTAGGTCTCAAGGAAAAGGACTTTGAATGGGTGAATAGAGAACTCACCCAAGTCCTTGATCGAATGGTAATGGATCCCAATCGACGTNTGGACTTGGGGTTTCTGCATGTACGACGGTTGCTCTTGGAGCAACCGATCGTCTAGCTGAATGAGGCCCTTGTCCCCGGACTGGGCAACCGAGACCACTTGCGCCGCGGAAGAAGAGGGAGCGCAAGTGGAAGCATCAACCGGCTTCTTCTGTGGAGAAGTAGCCGGGTGCTCAGAGTCGGAGGATGAAGAAGAAGAAGAGGAACCAAAGGTGGGAGACCAGCCGCCAGAACCATAAGAATGAACGGAGGGGTTCTGACTATCCTCACGGTCTGACATGACTCAGAGAAGGAATGAAAGAAACTTACTTGGAGATGATTAGAAGACTCGGAGGACTCGGAAATAGTAGAAGCAGCCGGGCAGGTTTTTGAATTGAAGATTTGCAAGTGAGGAAATTCCAAGGAGAACGACGCTTTATATAGGAGAGATGCCACCCAGACGGGCGAATGAAGAAATGACACGTGGCGACTGAAATGATTTGCAATCATAACCTCTCGGGGAGACGAAATGGCACGTTAAATCGGCGGCTCTGTACCCGACTTCGAGAAGATTCTCCCGCTTTGGACCACTGTTTTTTGAAAATTCAAAATTCAAATTTCAAATATTGTGGGTTGGCGCTGGTTTTCCGAGACGATTTCCCCGCCGAAAAGCGACTGGGCTGTTCAAATTCCAGGAAATGATCGCATGTGCTTCCCGCCCCTGATGGTCCCCACAGGACCGGGAATCGGAGGACTCCTTGATGGGTAATAACCCAGTTGGTTCACCGAACAGCACGCGTCTTTTTCAACCCGGGTTATTTGACCGGTTGGATGAGGAGACCAGATGCCAATACCCGAAGATTTACTTTCAAAGTGCACCTGGTGGGCCGGTCAGCCGCCTGACCGGTTGGATAATCAGAGACGTGCTTGACGTGCTTAGGATTATTATAAATACTCTTAAAAGCCTCATTTGTGAGGCATGTTTTAATTAACCTACACGGCTTGTATTTGTAATAACTCCTATTATCATTAATAACAAATCGGGTTACAGGTAATTCCACCTACAACCCTTCCGATTACTCACACTTAATATTTGTACCAATACTTTGTGTTGGTGTAAAACTAATTTTTGTTAAACGCACCAACATTTGTGTCCGTGTGAATTTTTTTAAACGCACCAACACTTGTGTCGGTGTAAACCATCGAAATGTTTGTGCAAACTTGTGGGGTACAAATGGGGTATATTTTTTGGTGTAAGTGTAGCATGGTCCAGTATTTAATACTACTACGTCTAGTCTAGTCTTAGGTCTTACCTGCTGCAGCTTAAAGCATATAGGAGTCACAATTTTGATTTTTTTATCCCGCATAGAATACAAATTGTCCGCTACGTAGTTTTGACTTTTTAATGGAAAATGGTATGGAGTATTTGACTCTTATGAAAAATTAAGAAATAGTACTACCCCTGACCAATGACTTGAGCCGAAGCTTTAATTAATTGATCATAATTATCTTTAATTAAGGATAGATGTCTCATTGTATACTTTAATCGGTCTGGTTCCGTTGCTATTGAGCAACAATGCCATTAGCTTTTATTTTTAGGCTCTTCTTACAAATTATAATTGATGAATTCTACCTCTTTAAACTCTTACCTTGGTGGCTCTAAATATGTGATCCTTAGGTCATTATATTCGTGTATCAATATCTGCGAGGTTCTTCTCATTTCCGAGTACGATGTTTGATCTGATATAAATTATTTTCAATTCAATTTATATAGATGTTGGTGTAAATATAAAAAAAATTACATATTTAAAAACTACTTTAAAATATCTACAGAACAAATAATGAAAAATTATCTTAATTTATCATATAATTAATGAAACATGGGTTAAAAAGTCAATAATGTTTTTCCATGTGGATATATAGTAACTGGGAAAAACCTAGGTCTGGTGGGAAGAATATTTTATTTAATTAATGGTCAAGTCTTATAAATTTTGACTCTAAAAAGTCAAAATTAGACAAATACTTAGAGACTAAAGTAGTATAAATTTTAATTAAGGAAAATTACCCATATAAGAGTAAAAAAGGAAATAAATTAATGTAGGAGTAAAATATTGAAAATATACCAAAATAGGGGATCCATTTTTTTCTCGAAATAGAGAGTCAAAATGCATTTACATTACCAATAATCATGACCACGTACATTACCAAAAGGGAAAAATACAAAAATGGTACTAAAACAATGCAAGTTTCCCAATATAGGACTAGTACTACCATAAACCTTTTTTTAATTACGTCAGCAACACCAATTGACTAATATAACCCCAACTCTTATGTGATTGAATTTCAAGAATTGATCTGGGCATTTAACACTCTTTCTCGACTGAATTCTGAGATTCCAGCGGGTACTAAACACTTTTGGAAAACAAGTGGACATTGAATTTTGAAAATCCAGTAGACATTGAATTTCGAAAATCCAGCGGCCTATCCAGGTCTATATCCAGAGAGAGAGAGAGAGAGAGAGAGAGTCGCGCTAAAGATTATCGCCGCTCACTATCGATGTTACAATGTTCATTGTCGATGCTACAATGTCCAGTTTGCCGTCGCCCACCGCCGATGTCAAAATGTCCACTTTGTCGCCGACCACCGTCGATTTCACAATGTCCACCGTCGATGTTACAATGTCTATCTTGCGACCATCTACCACTGATGTCACAATGCCTACCATCGATGTTAAAATGTCCACCTTGTCGTCGCCCATCACCGATGTCACAATGACCTCTATCTAGTTGAATAATGTCCGAGTATAATATGTATGTTAGTGTCCTTGGATTCATCACAGAGACATTGTGTCAATTTTCAATGTCGATTTGTTTATCCATCAATGTCTTTGGTTCTTCACTAGATCTATACATCGAGTTGCCGGATTTGAATCACAAAGAAAAATTGTGGATGATCCTGTTCGATCGAAGAAGACGGTGAAAGGCAAGAATTGAGTTGTGCAAGAAAATGGAAAGAAATCTGAAGTTTGAGAGAGACGAGCCTGATTTGATTTAGGCATGGGGAATGGGAGGCTAAAAAGGGGAAGTCAAGTTGAAAAAGGTACTATTCAAGGAATAAATGATAATTAGTACCATAATGGGAAAAGTAATGACTTTTAGTACTATCGGTAGGAAATCTGACATACCAAAAAGTATAGTAAAATGTACATGTACAATGCCACATTACCATAGTGGGAACTCATATTTTGGGAATAAAAATATGAAAGTCCTATTTTGATATTTTCTCTATTAAAGTATCAAAATAACAATCTTAAGTCTTTCAAGACCAAAATAGAAATTCATACTGCCACATTGTAACACCCTAATCCGTCTAGGTCTGCAGCCCCATTCGGACTAAAGTATTTAACTTGGTAATCGTAAAATTTAAAACTTTTCAAACATACTTTATTAATCTCAATAAAAATTTTCATAACATATACAGTACGGAGTATTTAACAATTTTGCGGAAGCAAATTTAATATTGACATATCATAAATCATTTCAAAACTTGTCACATCCATTCCGACAATCTCGCCCCATCTGCCACCAGGATCACATTAATCTTTCTGTTTACCTGCGTGTAGCAAATAAAACACACTACACGCTCAGCGGTGAAGGTGAGTAAGCATATCTAAAGCGTCGAACATCCACATAAATTGAATCTCAATTCACAAACAACCATTTGATATCATGCACACAATATATAATTCATTCATGATATTCTCAATATTTTTATTCCAATATCTTAACATTCAACATTCATATTCAATATTCAATATTTAACAATATCCTTAAACTATGCTTAGTCTAAGGTCAATCTTTTTGATGTTTACCAACTCTTAAACGAATTCTAGTTTAAGATGGTTAAACTATATTCGAGTTTAAGGTACTTCTAACCAATTTTTAAACTAATTCTAGTTTAAGTTACTTCTAACTAACTCTTAAACTAATTCTAGTTTAAGGTACTTCTAACCAACTCTTAAACTAATTCTAGTTTAAGGCACTTCTAACCAACTCTTAAACTAATTCTAGTTTAAGGTACTTCTAACCAACTCTTAAGCTAGGTCCTTAGTTTAAGGTACATATTTCAGATTGATTTACCAACTCTTAAACTAGCCTTCGCTTAAGGTACAAATCCAGAAAACCGAACAGTAGGATACTAATTGTCGGGTTGGGTGGCATCCCCAAACGAGTTCCTCTAGTTTGGTTATGGATCCCGTACGTACGTTTTAACCCAGGCCACCGAATATTCATAATTATACCCGCAAGGCCTATTTCTAAGTCATCTTAGAGGTCTTCTAGATAGTCTTAGAAACCAACGTCAACCTAGGTATATCTTAGAGTTCTTCTAGATATCCTTAGAATTCAAATCATTTCATAATCATCAACATATTCATTTCAATTCATAATTTAATCTTCAATAATCATTTTAATCA